TGGTAAAATTAATTTCAATAATGTTTTATCTCAAACATCAAGGCAATATGAACTCAATCTAAAAATGATTAATGACACAGTTTACGTTCTTTTCTTCACACCGAGTCTGTGAAACCCAATGTGCATTTCACCCTCATTTCCCGACTCTGTTTTGGTGCTAGGTTTTCATCAGGGACTCGTTCTTTGTATTTATCATCTGATACAATTTGCTGTTGTAAAACTAGAGTCACATGCTCAGGATGTTCTGAATACTTATTTCCAGTAACTAAATCAAGTATCACTTTTTACATTTGACTTTACAGTATACCAATTAAAATTAAATAAAATCAAAATTCCCTTCTTCAGTGGCACCAGCTACATTTCAAGTGCTTAGTGACTACCATGTTTGATAGTGCAATTGTGAACTACTAGTTTGCTTCGCCATGCTTTTAGCTGAAAGGGTTGATTGTGCACAATACTATTATTTCTGTTGTTTTAACAACTACCCCTTATTTAGCCGTGTGCTACATGCACACATGACATCCTTTAGTTCCCACAATAAACCTGAGAGGCAACAAACAACAGCCTCATTTTGTAGATAAGAAGAAAAATTGAGCCTCAGAGAGTTTAATCATCTTTCCTAAGATCTGAAGCCAAGATCTTTATGTGTACGGATGAACTGATTAAGACTCTCCCAAAGTCTCGGGAAATCAGGATTCTCAACTTCCAGTCAAGTAGGTTATGTGTGGATAGTTTATTCAAAATGTGTTTTCCTTTTAGAATGTAAGACTTTTTTTTTTTTTGATTGGGCATCTGTTTTGGACCCAATGGGTCTGTCAGTGCTAATCACTGTGTAGAAATGACATTCTGCCCTTAGGGAAGGGTATTCAGGACGCCAAGTTGGGACGTCCATAATGCGACAGGGATTTCCTCTTCTTGAGCATTAGAAGCAGCTTCTCATGTTTTGAAGTGCTTCCCTGTAGGGGCGTGAGTGGGTGAGCATGGTGGTACACCTTGCTCTGTGCTCACTGCAGACATGCGTGTCTGTGTCTGTCTGTCTGTCTGGTGATGTACTTTTCTCAGTGTTCTCATAACTGATAGTCTGTAGACTGAATTACAAAATAAGAGAAGATCCTCAACAACCTGAGGTTCTGAGATATTTGTGATAACTTCTGCTTTTCGGGAGGGTGACTGGGAGGCTACCCTATGGGTAGAGCCACTCTAAGGCCTTAGTTTTCTTTGTATGATGATATCATTTCTATTATTGTTTTAACAGTTTCCATTTAACTGACGGCAGCTTTGGGTCATAGACCTGTTTTTGACTCTAGACTCTTTAATTTGATACCATGTGCATGTGATTACAAATTCAGCTGAATCAATACACACGCACGTGCATGTACTTGTGGACATGCCTGTATGTGCACCCATTTTCTGTCATCCAGATTGGCTCGGAAAATTTTGGTGAAGCTGGATCCTCAGAAAGCTGGGAGAATACTTGTAACAGTGCGCCTGTCCTTCAGATGCCTGCCAAGGATGGGACTGCACTGCTGCAGACTGCAGGGCACTCCTCACCACTTAACAGGTGTAAATTGCTGTGGTTTGCCGATAAAATGCTAAATGTGGACCACAGGAAAGACTCGGCCAGCAAATACTCCAAGGAAGAGAGTACTGAGTACATGAACACACAGTGTATATATGAAACCCCACACACACACACACACATACACACACACCCCACCTTCAGGTGCTGGTTTGTGTGCTGGGCTGTCCCTGTTACAAAGAATGAGGAGGTGTGTGCTCTCATAGGGATGACACCCCAATAAAGACAGACAGACCTTGAAAGCCCTCAGTATTTAATGTGGCCCAAGAAATGGACAGTAGAGGCCTGCTGTGCCTAGATTGGTGTGCTGGGGTCTGCATATCACGGGTCACTAGTAGGGTGGACGGTGTGCCTCACGCCACCCCTGGCTCTTGTCCTCCTGCTGTCTCAGAGTTTCCTTTCTTCCTTGGTGGGCCTGTGGACGAGGTGTCACCCTGTCCCTGAAGGCTGCTCGAGATCCTAGCAGGGGCAGCGTCCCCTCCCAGCACCTGGATGCTCCTCCTCAGTGGGTTGATCCTGTGGTCAGTGTGAATGGAACTCTGTCTGGTTGGGGGTTTTTGATGTGGCTGCTGGCGCTGGGGCAGGGGGTCCTTCAGGGTGGTCTTTCAGGATGGCATGGTGGATTGTGTCTTGCAAAGTCCTTCCTCAAGCACTATCTCATTGTATCTTTGTAAGTAAAGTATACCTGTCCCCATTTCTTCACTTTATCTTGACTGGCCCTGGATGCGTGGGAACTGAATGATGAGATGCAATGGGATACCGGTCCATCAGAAAAATGACTTGTCAGGGAGCTTAGTGAATGAAGTGTCTTTAAATGTGACAAAGTGGCAGTGAATTTTTCAAGTTTTTTTTTTTTTTTTAAATCAAAGAGAGGCTGGATAGCAACCAGGTGAAGCAAACAGGGCCCTTGGGGCAGGGTGGACATGGGTGTTCCTATCAGGTAGCCCAAGATGGTTGATCGCACCTCCCTGCCAAGATGAAGAGGCAGACTTGGCTGCCTTCACCCTGGAGTAATCCTGACAAATGAGACAAACACGTTCAATTAGCGCCGAGCACAGTGCAGTCCACAGTGACCTGCCCAGCGTGGTAGATGAATGGGGCTGTGAGGGATGGATTTAGGCCAGAACGTATGGGTTCCAGAGCCTGAAGGGCCAGCTCTGTATGTTGAGAACCACTGATGGACCTGCCTGGCTGGCAAGCCCTGGGGACCTGATCCCCGGCTAGCTTCAGGAACAGCCTTGCTCAGGGGTGGGGGGGCTCCATTGTTTCCTCTGAAGTCACATGGTCAGGATTGTTACTGCCTGTTGCATCCTAGTGGCTCTAACCACCCTCCTGCCCTACCCCCACAGATGCCTGGGAAATCCATTTGTTCTCCAGAATGTTGGCAGTGATATCTGATCAAGGGAACAGGAAGACCCAGAGCTCACCTCATGTTGAGGTGGGCAGGTAGGACACATTGGAAGATGTCGGGTGGGGGCCCCATGGAAGGGCCTGGCATGGCAGGGCTGGGCTGGGCTGGGGGAGGCTCTCCAGGGCCTCTTTCTACCCTCTGGGCTGGAGCATCTGGAGTGTTGTTCTTCCCTGGATGTCCCCTGTGGCTAGGACCAGCTGACTTAGAATTCCTGAAGGTGGACGGTCTTTGTGGACATTGGAGTTCTGTAGGAAAGATGTCAGGGTTTGGGGAATTTGTGGAAATAGCATATTCAGTGAATTCTCATTCTCAAACAAGTCCACTCTAGCGAGGTCAGTTCTTGCACTATTGCCCTTGGACTGGCTTTGTATCTGGGTGCCTCTAACACTGGTACCATGTTCTGTAGTAACCTCGTGTCTTGGCTTTTTGGAGCACCTCATTCAAGTCCAGGGGGCCAGGGTCCTCTCTCAGGTGACTGTGGCCCCTCAGTCGGCATTGAGGAAGGGTTGGTGAAAAGGGAATTGGTACAGGCTTGGCTGAAACCAGAGCCCTGATCCCTCGGACAGCCTCATCCCTATACATGCGTGCCTCCTTCAGAGGCGTCCCCAGCAAGGCGGCTTGGCGACTTGTCAGAGTGTGTGCAGCCCTCACAACCTATGCACTGCTTGTGCTGAGTGCGATCATGAAGCCAAGGTGCAAATCCACATGTTCATATATTCAGTGGACATGACTCCTTCTGGAACAGTGGTGTTGCTATAAGCTCTTTCCTAGGCTGAATCCAAACGGAATTCACAAAACGACTTGGCATGGGCTGCCCACACACAGTCCTTGGGGGACATGGAGTGGAAGGGTTTGTGTTACTGTGGATTCTTTCCTTCTTCCTGCCTGTGCCCCACTCCTGCCTCCTCCCAGCCCTGCATTTCAGCGTGGTCCTGGGGAAAGTGCTAAGTTTTTCTGAACAGAGGGCTCACTCCAGTGTGGCCTGCTTTTTTTTCCTACATAAAACTCAGGACCCATTAATGTAAACATCTGTGCCTATATTACTGATGTTGAAAATCTTAAAATGTCTAATCCTAAGCACCGGCTTCTCATTGCTGCTCTCAGGCTTTGCACCTTTCAAGGAATGGTGAGGGCCAGACTAGCCTCAAAAATACAGAAATGGCACTGTGAGCAGGCCATGTTGGAAAATGAAGAGGCTAGAGTTACATTGGATTTCCCAATTTGAAGAGAAAATTAGGAATTTTCGTCTTTGGTATCGGTGTATCTTTGGTATCTCTATATTTGTTTCCTTACTGCTTTTCTGTTTTCTAATGATCCTTTCTGTGTTCCTATCTAAAAACAGATGAAAGTCCAAACTCCTTTGCTGGGACCCTGCTCCCTGCCAAGCTGTCCTCCATGTTATAGTCATATTCCCCACAGTGGTGTCTCTGCCCCTGATTCCCATTTTCCTGTCCCTCTTCCGCCTACTTCAGGAAGCTGCCCTGGGAAGGGCTCTGTGTACCTTTAATTATCACTTTGCAGAGCGGACCTCTTCCATGTAGTCCACTTGCAAGATGAAGAGTCTCAAAAATCTGAAACTAGAATAATTTTTGTCATATGAAGTGTTTTCTTTTAATGTTGCAAATCAGTTAATTTATACAGAGAAAATAAGTAAAAACCCAACATGTGTGCTTGTGTTTGTATTTATGTGCCCAAGGAGGGAAATATATATATGCCTGAATAAGTATGTTCTGCATGTTTGTGAGTTGTTGGGTCATATCACATGTCTATTTCAGTGCACGGAAATACACACATACATAGATGTGTGAATCTTTTAAAATTATCGACAGCAACAGAAAGTCTGTTCTCACAGACAATAGAAACTAGTTGGGTCCTTTGCTCCCTCCAGTTGTCTGTTTCCATGCTGCAGAATGTGATTGCCAGTTGCTGACGGGGTGCACAGACTTCTAGCACACGTGAGTTGCACCTTGGTGGCTCTCGCACTGACCAGCAACCCTGTTTCATATGTAGACTGCAGAGAAATCCTGCTTCCCATGATGACGGATCAGCTCAAGTACCACCTGGAGAGGCAGGAGGACCTGGAGGCCTGCTGCCAGCTGCTCAGCAACATCCTGGAGGTGCTGTACAGGAAGGACGTGGTGAGTGACCCACTGCAGCCTCTCTGCTGAGAAGTGATTCTTTACTCATTTAGAAAATAACCGCCTTCATTTTCAGTCTTAGCCTCTCTCTTTCTCTCTGTAGAGTTGCACCCGGAAATTACTTTTATTTATATCTATATCGTGATTTTCACATTGCAGTGTTTATCCTGAATTGAAATTTGTTTTCTCTTTCCTGTATCTTCTCAGTGAAATGCCTCCCAAGGCCGAGTATGCAATCCTTAAGGTCAGATAAAAGGCTAAGAGTTGGCTAATTACTTGCATTCATACTTGCAATTCTTATTTTTATTAAAGTAACAAACACATGCAAAAAGTTTTTTTTGTTTTTTTTTTTTTAAACAAGCCAGTGGTGCTTTGAGACTTTCAAGAAGAGCAGATCTCTGCTCCACCTCCATGGATAGCTGCCCCTGATGCTTTCTTAGCTTGGGATTTTCTTTTACAGTTTGGAACCGTGTGCTTATTCCAGTTACTTTTTCTTTAAATCAGAAGTTGTTGCAAGCATGTGAGGGAGTCTCGTCCTGTGCCCCCATCCTCAGCACACTGTGTATGTCTGTGCACATGGGAGTGACACTATTGATTTTAAAAAAAAAAAAACTTTTTAGATTTAGTTGGACACAAAACCTTTAATTAATTAATTTATTTTTATGTGGTGCTGAGGATTGAACTCAGTACCTCACACATGCTAGGCAAACACTCTACCACTGAGCACAGCTGCAGCCCGGACACTATTGATTTTTCAGGTGTGTCTGGAAGGTGGGAACAGGACATTGCCTGTCTCTGCCCTGGACAGGGCTTTAAGTGGATCGGGCTTCTTCTGAGCTCTCTCCTCTGTGACCTGGGTACCCTTCTGGGCAATACACACACACACACACACACACACACACACACACACACACACACACACACACCCCTGCACCTGGATGCCCTCCCCTCAAGGCCTGACTGATTCTTCCTAAGCCTGGTTCAAACTCTTGATGAAAGAGATGAGATTAAATCCATCCCTGGGGACAGGGACCTCAGCTCTTTCTGCCATTTCCTGTGGGAAGGTTTGGAAACTTCACCGAAGCCTGGCCCCAGTGGTCCTGCTCCAGGATCTTTGCTTTTCTAACTGGCCGGAAGGCTCGGTGAAGAGGCTGCAGAGCAGATCTCAGGGAGTGGGCAGTGGCTCTTCAGAGAAGGGCCCAGTGCACATCTGACCAGACCAGTTCATGGAATGCGATCAGTTACACACCAAATAAAAGTGAATTCTTTCTGGTAGAGAATTCCATGTGGTTTGATTTTCAGATAATCAAAATTGACCCTCAGCTGGTGTGCAGAGATGCTGTGGTGTGGGACTGCTGAGGTCTGGGGATCGGGCTCACCCAGCAGCCTGGGTTGTTGTCTCAACGTGGCCCAGTGTGTGAGTTATTGGAGGTCTAACCAGGGATCATAAACATTGTACGGTTTAAATTGATTTCCTTTTTGTTTTAAGGTTTGTGTAAATTGAATTACAATTATATGAGATTTTTAAAAAATATTTTCTTTAGTTGTTGATGGACCTATGTTTTATTTGCTTATTTATATGTGGTGCTAGGAATCAAAGCAGTGCCTCACGCGTATGAGGCAAGTGCTCTACCACTGAGCTACAACTCCAACCCCAAGAGATTATTTTTAATAGACTCTAAGAAAATGTTGTGAGTTTTCTTTGTGAAGGCTTTTGCCTTTGACAAAGACCATTTCTCATCTCATTAAGGTTTATAATTATTCACTTTTTAATTTAATCAGTTTATTTTTTTGGACTGGGAATTGAACCCAGGACACTTTACCACTGAGCTATATCCCCAATCCATTTATTTTGTTTTTAAACATTTCTATACAGGGCCTTCTTAGGTTGTTGACGCTGGCCTTGAACTCGCAATGCTCTTGCCTTAGCCTCTTGAGTCTCTGGGATTGCATGCATGCACCACCATGGCCAGCAATTGATTTACTTCTTATGGGGTCCATGGATCCAGTGACCACAGGGGGGCTGTATGTCCACGGTTGTCTTTGGTGTTGGTTTTCACTGGTGTGTCTTTCTCCAGGGGCCAACGCAGAGGCATGTGCAGATAATCATGGAGAAACTCCTCCGGACAGTGAACCGGACCGTGATTTCCATGGGGCGGGACTCGGAGCTCATTGTAAGTGCCCAGCCCCATGTGCTTGAATACTTAGGTGTCGCTCAGAACATCTTCCTGGGAGTGTCACAGACTCCCCAGCCCCGGCTTCATCTGGTCCTGTTCCAACTGCTGTTGGAAGATGAGTTAATTTTTTAAAAACATAGTAAGCAGGGGGGACACAGTGTGGCATATGAGATGTTCTCATTTCCTGATTCCAGGGAAAAGTGTCCGAGCTGGAGGCTAGCACTCAACATCTAGGGACAGAGTATTTGGTGCATGATCTGCTATTACTTGCAGAGAGAGACGTGGATTTTCTTCTTAGTCCTCAACCTTCTGGCTGTTTTTCTTTATATATACATTTAAGGTGCCATTAATAAAATTTTATGAAGCACCTTAAAATGTAATGGAGGTACTCCAGTTTAGCACTTTTATTGTCTAGTCCAGTGTATTAAGGGTGTTGCTCTTAGGCCACTTAGTCTGTGTGGAAAACTACTTTTCTAAGAATAGTTTAATGATTATTTAGACAGTCTTTCTATGTTCACATCATAGTACCTTTTTTCCAGAGTTTATTGGCACCCCCTGTCCTCCCATATTTTTTAAAATTAATATATTATACTCATAGATAACAGTGGAGGTCATTTTGACACATTCATAAATCCATGTTCCATAATCAGCTCCATTCCAAGCCCTTTCCCTCCCTTTCTCTCCCCTTCTCCCTCTGCTGGATCTTCTTCCTCTACTCTTCTTCCTTCTATTTATTATTTTTTACATTAGTGCATTATAATTTTGCATACAGGTGGGACTCACTGTGATGCTTCCGTCCATGCACATGGCATAATTTGGTCAATTTCATTCCTCAGTTGCTGCCCTTTCCCATCCTGCCTCCCACCCTACCCTGTCCATTATTCTTAAATTCTGTTTCTTAGGCAAAAGATCCACACATAGGTCTTGTTAATTTTTTCATTTCCAGTGCCCATCAGTAAACTCACCTTGTTGAATGGCCTTAAAAAAAAAAAAAAAAAAGAAAGAACTAAACAACTTCCTTAATCAAAGGACAGAAAGGCTGCTAAGAGTCTTACTGGCTGCCAGACAGGGCACTTGGTCTCTTGGTGTGTGAGCTGGGTTCCTTCTGCAGACCTAGGGTACAGAGCAGTGAGGTGGAGCATGTGTCTCCTTTAGGTGCACAGCCAACATATAGCACTGGGCTTGTTTTGTTGTCTGTGGCTGGCATCCTGGTAAAGGATGCTCGTGTAGACGAACCCCAGAGAGTGCGGGCCAGCCACCATGCCCGAGTGTTTCCATCCAGTGAAGTAGCCCAGTTTATGTCACAGAGTTTCAGGACTTGCTCTGCCCAGATTTTCCTTTCTTTTCTTTTCTTTTTTTTTTGGTACCAGTGAGCCACATCCCCATCCCTTTTTGTATTTAGAGGCAGGGTCTCACTGAGTTGCTTAGTGCCTCCCTGGTGCTGAGGCTGCCTTTTGAACTCATGATCCTTGGGCCTCAGCCTCCCGGGGCACTAGGATTACAGGTGTGCACCACTATGCTGGGCCACAATATCCTTTTTAAAGTCTATCTCATTTGAGTTTGGACTATCACAGGTAGGAGTTAGGAAATAAATTGTTTCTATATACATCACTTTATTTGTTGTATACTTTTTCATTATTACATTATGTAACTTTGCTTCCTCATGCTCCTCATTAAGACTATTCTTTTCTAGAATCTAGAACACCTTTGTATGCTTAATATTGAGTAGGGAATGAAGCCCATGGCCAGGGACTGGGGCGACCCCAGGGCTCCCCTGAGGTCTGGTGGTCCCATACTCTGTGGTGCTGCTCCAGTACACTCTGACATGCTCCCAGGGGACCTAGGACAGAGCTGAAGGGAGAGTGAATGGTGTGTGACTTGAAGCTGATCTAGTGTGCCCTCCTGCTCTGGTCCTTCCTGGAGTGGCACTAGGTTCACACTGGGTGAGGGACCGGCTTGTTTGTATGTTCAGATGAGGGATGGCAGGTGTGGATTCAGGGGGTGATGAGGTTGCTCCCCCCTGGTTAGGGGCACAGTCCTGCTCTGGTTAGGGACATAGTGTCTTGCCACTGCTAGGAGGCCACCAAACTGCCTCTGGTCAGAACCTGGGACCTTGTGCATGCACTGCACTTCTGAGCTCCATGGCTGTGGCTAGGGACATTATCCTAGCTGTGTGTTCTCTTGGTCATAGCCTTGTGGCCAGCAGTTAAACTGGGGAGAGAAGGGTGAACAGGAAGCCCACGAGGATTTGGATGGGTACTTTGGAATGTGGGGAGTTTGTGATTTGTGCTCACATCTTGAACAAAGGCAGAAAGCAGTTTGCAGAGCATGGCATTTCCTCCGAGACCTTGTGATTCTGGATGTCTTTGGGAAATTTCTCCTTTCTCAGTCATAATGATAACAATGACAACAACAGTAGTAATTATTGAGCATTTATTGACGTGCTGGGCACCACATAACTAATGGGAAGACTCTCATTTAATTTTCGCCTTTATCCTGCATATGGCAACTGCAGCAAATACCCGCATGTGCATAGAGAAATGGTTCCGAGCCCTGCAGCTATGGTGGCAGGACTTGCGTGGAGCCTGGGTTTGATGCCCAAATTTTCTCCAAGTCTCTGCTGTGAGACTGAGTCAGGGGGTGCTGATGGGTGTGGTCCATCTCAGCACCGTCAGAGAGAACAGTGAATTGTTCCCTGGTCTCTGCCCTTGTTAGGAGTCAGCTGTCCAGGAAAATAAGCCCCCTTCTCTTTTCTACCTTGAGAAGTTTCCATAGACTCAAGCCCTAGGGGTCTTCTGGTGGTAATACGGCCAGTCCAGGAGTTGCCTGCGCATCTAATGAAGGGCAGGGATGCCCCGGGTTGGAGGTACCATGTGTTCTCAGGAGCTCTTAAGGTGAACCTTTGCATGTTCTGAGAAGCGGCTGAGACACCAAGGCCCCACCTTTGGCCAGTAGTTGGCCGGGACCCAGGCCCACCCCCCAACCCTGACCTTCTCAAAAAGAAGTCTGTCTCCTGAACCAGGAAGGGGATTGAGCTCTTCAGGAGGCCCCTCCCGATTCCAACATCTCCAATATTTATAAAAAGACTTCTGAAGTTCTCTTGAATTTATTTTGTAAAACTAAACTGTCATGGAACAAATCTCGAAAAGATATATTCTGAATGAGCTATAATCATTTAATGAGCCACGACAACGTCAGGATATTTCAGGAAGGACTTTCACCATTTAAAATTGTTGGGAAGGGTCTTTCTGTGGTTGAGTCCCCTTCTGGTGTCAACAGAGAAGCAGGACTGGAACCCTTCCCCTCTGAGTTCAGCATGTTAGCCTTCCCTCTTTATTTGCCTCCGACCAGGGTGGATGCATTAGCTTCTTAATGTCACCGTTGTTGCTCTGTGGGTTTAGATTAGAGCAAGATGGGGACAAAAAGATCCCTGACACGGTGGACAAAAACTTAATCAGTGGCCTTCCAAGGTGGAAAAGGAAGAGAAAATAGTTTATAGATCTGTTTGGATAAGCTGTACCGTTCCATTGTGCCTTGGAGCTTTCAATCTTCCCGTGTTGCTCATTTATGCATAAATGTAGTGGAAATCATAAGACTGAATCGGCTTGAAAACTCTAAGTAACTGATGAAAATGGATTTTTAAAAAATCAAAGTGATTAAAAAAATATCTTTGGCTAGACGTGCCTCCCTGATGACTTACTCCTGGATATTGTCAGCAGCACTGGTGTGAGCGTGACCTCTGTCCCTGTGGGGCAGGGTGTGATGCGGTTGGCCTCACACTGCCCTGCCTGTTTATGTGTGGAGTGGAGAAGTGTGGGACTCTGCCTGTGACCGTGCCACCGGGACCTGCAGTACAGGGCTTCTTGCAACTGCGGAGGCCAGGCAGTGGGACTGTGATGTCGGGTTTTATGAAAACTCCACTCCGCCGTCAGTTACGCATCATTTGTTTCAGTGCACGGGCTGTGGGGACCCACCATCCTAAGTATCATACACAAACAGCACTCAAGACAAGTCCACCTGGCAGCTGTGGAACTGTGGACCACGTGCTGAGGGGACACGGGCCCTGAAACCAGCTTGGCCATAGTGCCGCACAGGATGAGGAGCAGTTTCACCTGCCCTCCTCCACTCGGTGGCGAGACATATTTGAGTGAAATATGTGGGTTTATATTAAGTCTAATGTCAGGTTTTACATTTCTCCTCCCTTTGAGAGGCCATCTGTGCTCTGGGCATCAAGCACCATCCTTTGTGTGCACGTATGGTCTGGGCCAAGGGCCTTGCTTGGGTTAGATGCTCTTGTGTGGCAAGTAGGTAGGCAGGCCACCTGGCTGGTGGTGACCTGGTGCCACCCCCATACAAGAGTGTCCTTTCTGGAATGAGCATCTGTGCACTAACTGGCATGAGACCTGAGAACGCGATGATGCCTTGGAATGAGGCATCATTCCTCTTCTCCTGTGCTTGGAGGTGCTGCTGCTTTGCCATGATGGGATTCACTGCCTGTTCACGAGTCAAACGCACTGGGTGGGAAGGACTGTCACATGGGCCTCGGCGCAAATCAGCAGGCTGAAGAGGACTGATTCTCCAAAGTGGAAATGTGGCCTCTTTCAGTGGAAGGTGCTTTGGAAAATCCGTAAAATTCACAGAGGCATGTGTAGAGAAGGAACCAGGCTGTCTGGATCCTTGACTTATGTTTGGGACCATAGGGGCCTCAAGTCATGGATACACTTCTGCTTCTTCCACTGTGGATGTCTGGATGGGGTGGGGAGTTTGCTGTTAATAAAAAACCCAGAGCTTTCACTTCACCTGGGTGTTTTATAAGGACCTGGCATGCTTTCTTAGCTGGAAAATAAGGTGCTGCTTGGGTTTCCCAGTGAATGGTGCCTATTTAACCAAGAGACCTAACCAAATTATTCCAATAAAGATGTTACATCCCCCGCATGAGTGTTGATTTTGAGATGTTTATTCTCATGGAATGTAAATATGAATGTGCTTTCAAAAAATGTTGTTTTTTTAAACTTATGTTTGCAACAGAAAAAAATTCATTGTAAATGTTTCAAATAGATGGTGTCTGGCTTTTATATACAGGTATCACACAAACTGTCTCTAATTACACCGTTGGCCAGCAAATCTACTTACAAACGTAAGGCCCCGGAAAGCCACCCTGACACATGAGTTTGTGTGAGCAGCAAAGACTATATGTCCACTTTTATTTGGTGTTGGGGGAGTAGTTTTCATGCCTTTTTTGTATTCTTGGGGCCTTGATATTTTTTTTCAAGATTGGTCACTAATTGTGGGTTTGTAGCAGAAGAAATAAAAACCAGTCATCGGTGAGTAAAACGTGCTCTGTATTTCCTACGTATTCAGACCTGCCTGCAAAGGTGCTTTGAGTTAATTATTGAGCGATGTTAAGAGGTAATCGGTAGCTTTCACTCCACCTGTTATCTGCCAAATGCAGGCCATCCACCCCAGCATGGTTAGTTTATGCTAATTCACTAAACAGGATGTTATTTCTGATCTTTGCATCACATAGCTGTTTACGTCCAGTTAGTGAGCGGGCTGCACATTTAGCCCACGCCAAAGGTGCTATTGATAGAGCTTTTATAGATAAAAGAGGCTATGTTGATTGGTTGGGTTGTGGTTGATCTTTAGGCAACATGGCACCCTCGAAACTGCCTCAATTAGTCATCAATTCACATTTTCCTTGCTGATAAAAATGCTCCCAAAGAACCAGTCCACCGAGGTGGGTTTTATTAACATGCCGTGCTGTTACTATCAGCATGATACAGAGGAGTTCATGGCCATTCTTCCTTTCTAGTTCTTACTCTCTTCTGTGACTGACAAAGATCAGAACACTTTACTCCATGGTGAGTCTTGTTGTAATTAATGATCGTGTACCTGGGGCCATGGCATGCCTCTGGGGGTCCTCCAGGGAAAATGGGGTTGCAGGGGCCATCCCTATTCCCTATTCTGTGGGTCGATCCTTGGCCAGGGGCTACAGTACCCTTGATGCCATATGGTCCAGCCACACTTTGCCATCCACCCAGGTGCCGCTGAGCAATCTTGCAGGATGCTCAGGAAGAGCCTGCTGGTCGCTCCTGCCCTGAGCTAGTGAGGTGTCCCCTGCCTTGCTTCCTTCCTCATGTGTACTCGGAGGGACTTGGGTGTGGGAGTCTGAGATTGAAGATTAAAAAGCAGAGGTCCTGGCCTTTTGCTTCCTGCAACTGAGTGGCATGCTTTAGAGTGACCCTGGGCACCAGCATGGCAGACTGTCTTTGCTGCATCTCAGTATGTATACAGGAGGAGCTCTGGGGTGGCCTGGTAGGTGGCTGGTGGCTGATGTGGAGGGGCTGGGTGTTCCCTGCACTGCCCTGGGTCAGTGCACTGGGCTTGCCTTCCCCTTGTGCATTTGATCCCTTCTTTCTCTGAGGACTTGTGCTGGTAGGAGGAGCCTCACATCCAAGTGTGTGGTGCCCTGTCCTCACTCAGGGACTCTAGACTTTGGGCCGTGCATTTGCACCCACAGGTTGTCCGGGCAAGCCAGCAGTGGTCTGCCCATGGACACCAGGCCAGGAAGGGGCGCAGCCCAGCAGGGGTGCTCATTTTCCTGGGGGCAGCCAGAGAAGAAAGGAAGATGCTGGCCAATTCCCCAGGACTGGAGACCTGCTCGTTAAATGGGCAGGAGAAGCTGCCTACACCGGCTATTCGAGGATTTGTCATGAATGAGTTTAGTTATCTACTTGGAGGTTCTTGAGAAATTAGGCCTCAGGTGACGGCATCTTGGCATTAGCCTGCATGGAGTCCTGCAGACTGTGAAAAGTTCCCGTCTTACCAGCAGCCAAGCCCATGCCCGGTGCCCGGCTGGGCAAGATGTGAGCCCCACCCACCCCCACAGGGCAGGCAGTGTGCCACACCACGGTCTCCTGCCTTGCCAAGTCCTGATGAAATGGTTGTCAGCCCAAGTACCCTTCCTTTCTTATTATTTTCTCAGATTACTTTTATTTTCTCAAATTATTGAGGCTATGAAATAAGTTTGATAGCCACACAGAACATTACCTTTGATTTTTTTTTTATTTAAAAATTAATAAAGAACTTGATGACAAGTATAATAATTAATCTCTATACGTAATGCCATGTACATGTACATATGAGGGAGCACGGGACATGTTACCTTGGTTTTGTGTCAAAGTTTTTGCTTAAATCTGTCAAGAGAAGGATCTCCATCCATCAGTGATGCATCGCAATTAAACCATGAAATGATTTTGAAAATGTTATTTTCAAATGTTTTGGAGGTGCTTTCATTTTCCAGGAAGAATTAGTTTATCTACAGAGTTTCCTGTTTGACTCTGAAAATTTTAACCATAGGATTTTGGTCTAAACTGGTTTGACATAGGGACATCCCCTGTTCCAGGATGCCCTCTCGGTGGGACAGGTGTGCAGTGCTGGTTTAGCGAACTGCTGACACCTTTCTTCTTTCTACTCACTGATATCACTAGGGTTCTTAAAACAGAAGGAGAGAGAACTTGTCGCAAACATTTTTACAACTTTAGTTAAAAACAGTATAAAAACATGAAACACATTTTTAAAGTTTCAGTCTACATGAAACAATTGCACTTCCTTCAAGGTACAGGAACAACTTGCCTATCACTCTTCTTGCACAAAAATATTTCTGAGTTCTGTTACTGCTATTCAGGGATTTGAATCCTTACACAATATTTCCACAACAGGGGTGTGTGTTAAATTAAGTATACCTCTGCAGTACTGTTTGAGTAACCCCTAAAGAATGTTTTCACAAATACTCTTCTTTCGTCTTTTTCAAGTCCAGATCTGATTGCTGATAGATAGGTCCTTATAGAACCAGAAGCGTAAAACTAAAACAGAATTGCTGTTGAGTGAGAAGGAGAATGCATGGCAAGAAGTAGCTCCGGTGTGAACCAAGCAGGCTGCGATCCTTTTCCCAATACTAGCCACTTTGTGTTTGGCATCTGATCAATGAGGTGTGCACATTGGCACGTGAATAGATATGAAACTGCTGGACAAAAACTCGAAGACTGGGTTTTTCAGTATGTTCACAAACTATTCAAAATTTAAGTTGTACAAAAAAAGGCAAAGTAAGATCCCTACTTCCTATTGTGAAAAGCAAAAAATTGATAGACAAAGTCATTAACAGACTAGGGGATTTTTCTTTTCTATAAAAAGATACTTGCAAAGGTGCAAAGAAATGAGTGAAAAAATAAAGGAACTAAGATTTACATTGCAATGTGTAATCAAGAGAGAACTCTGAGTGTTACTGTGGATTTAAAAAATACCTAAAAACATTTGATTCACAGCTTTCCCCTAAGTATGTCGTTTAGTACAACTTACTAACAGGTTAAATGTAGGTGATATTAAGTTTGTCCATTGGTAGCAGCTAAACGGAACACGCTGTTTCTCTTTGAGATAGTCAGACCTTCCATGGTTGTTATAAAGCATAACGAATTATATAAAATGTCTGGCTGCTCTATGGGCGAGCAATGTCTCTGAGGATTGATCCACAAAAACACTTCCCGCCGTGGCAGAGAGCCTGTGATTTATTGGTGACTGTGTTATCCATTGTGTATCTCTATATGTGTTTTCAAATTCTTGCCAGAATTTATCATTTGGCCTTTGGGTACCAAAAGATTAAAAACGAGATCTAAGAAAGCTGAGTGTCCAATAGCTCTGACCCTGTCAACTTGCAATGATTAAAGGCATGTCTTGACTTTGGGGGACTCCTGGCTGCTGGCCATTTGGAAAATGAGCAGTAAACATGTCGTAGGTCTAGAGATGAAGAGGGTGCTCGATTTGAGGTGTCAGTGTGACACTGAGATGTGGTCACTTGGCTTAGCGCTACAGCACATGAAGGCAAATATACATAGAGTCACATTTTAGAGATTATTCATGGTCTCTGACCACTTGAAAAAATTGTGCTTTCTCCGGAATTTGATGTGCTGAAAATTGCACTCGCCCCCTGCTTATTTGCAAGATGGAACGTAAAAATGAAGTCCTCTGCAAACATAAGGCTTGCTTTTTCTTCTCGTTATTTAAAAATAAAGTAAAGGCTGGAAAATAATTATGAGTTTTCGCTGTGCAGAGTGACAGCCTGCCATGGTGCAGGTTGGTAACCTAATCCTTGCAGATCTGGGGGGTTAGAATTTTTACTTATCATCGTTGAGTACATAAGTTTCATTTCAGGTTTTACATCCCACATCCGTGAACTGCAAAGAACGGCTAGCCAGGTGTGACATTGATTACCTTACTCTGTTAATTATCTGGTGGGACGAAGGCCTTTTTGGTACGCAGGGCGAGAAGCGGGGAGCGCGTGGATTGGCACCGCAGTTCCCTCGATCCTAATCGTTCTGGAAAAGGACTGATTTAACTCCAGTGGGTTTTAAAGACAGCCTCGAGACTTCATACCACCAGTGTTAAAGGAACCAGAGTTTCCACCTTCCATGCTTTTTAGACTCAGTTTTGGATTTTTGCTTGGGCGTTGCGGAGTACGTCTCCTGAGTGTAAGGCGAAGGGGCGACCTGAGTTTCCTCGATAGGGTGCAGTTTCCTCAGCACGGGCTGCAGCTTGTCTTCCTGCTGCTTAAAGTCCAGCTCCACACTAGAAAGACAAAGCAAAGCACTCAGCCCTCCATTCTCCTCTGCGAAAATCCCCCTTGGGCAGCGGAATTTGGCAACCTTCTACCAGGGTAATGAAGGCTCATATTTTGTTTGTAATATAATTTTATGACTTAATATTAAGCAATTGACCATATTACTTTTTAGCTCTAGATTGCTGTACATTATTTCAAATAGGCTAATTTTCTTCAGAAAGTAACTTATTTGTTTTCATGCGTGAACCTTTAAGGCTTTGTTAACGTATACGGTTGGTGTCAAAGTATATGTCACATCTGTTGGAATGAAAAAACGGGACCCTTGAATGACCTCATTGTTCCACATGCTGTCCACCTGTGCTTCCTGGAGTAAGAGGTGACCAAAGACAGGAGGAAGAGGTCCTCTTAATCCATACAGCCCAGGTGCCTGTCAGCTCTGGTGCTGAGCAGCTGGCCATGGCTCAGAAACACCTATTTATCTCACCCAAAAGCATTGTGAAATAAAATGACCTTGGCTTACACTCTCCTTGCAAGATCTTATTTGTCTGAGAAACGCCTCAGAGCCACAGGGTCCCGCTAACACTGGGGAACACAGTGTGTTTATCGAATCAACACCATCGAACATTACTCGGTAGTTATCAAACAGAGGTTTTCAGAAAGCAATATAGATAGTGTTAGGTAAAAATAACACAAAGTTGTAATGACATCACTGAAGCCATCGTGGGTAAACATGTATTAGAAAGATATATTAGAAAGATGGATTAAAAATGATTTTTAAAAATATGTGTTTTTTCTTACAAAAGTTCTCTGAAGAATGCTGTTATCTTGTCTGGATTCCACTCCCCCACGTCTGTGAGAGGCAGCATTATGAGGTCTCCTAAGGTACTTCTAACAGGGGCACAGCCCACGAGTCATTTTTCCACGATCACCTCCCTTTCTGCTCTCGCTCACTGCCTCCCTGGACCCCTAGGGGTTGAAAAGGGTGCTGCCTCCAGCCAGCTCAGGGGAGTTCTGCTGTGGCCTCCTTGCTTGTGTGGTCTGGATGCCAGACTAAACGTCAGCGGGTTTCAGGAAAAGCTTGGTAGTGATGTGGATGCATGAGCTCATAACGTTTTATAACCAGTGGAACCGTAAGCCATTTATAAACATGAAATCCTATTGACTTAGAGAACCATTAATCCTAGCCAAATTTTGACATTTTGGAAAGACAAAACAGCAAAGCTGTATTATCTGGAGTTTTCAAAATAAGTTCCAGCCATTTTCTAATGGGCCATTTTATGTTTTAAATTCAGCATTCCATTTTTCTTATTGTCAAAGACTATAATATTACTTAAAAATTAAAAAAAAAATTGTCAGCGAACGTTATGGGCTAGTTAACCCCTGAGCCTAAAACCAAGACTTATTCTTCCCCCTTCCGAAGGCCTCTGATATATGCTGCAGTTTATAAAACTTAGGAAAAACCCTCACGAACTCAAGCCTTGTTAACCTAGAGCACATGACCCAGAAGTATAGTCCCTTTTAGGGACATCTGTGGAAAGTGCAAGCCTGAGGATTCACTGCATGTACAGAATTCCAGCTGCAGTTCTGTGACGTGCCATAGAAAGAATATAAGGTTCTGCCCAGGTGCTGGGTTAAATCCTCCATTCTCTTTAAACTTCATTCACTGAATTGTGAGATCATTCACTGAATTGTGGTAACTGCCCCGTTTCCCAATGCACCACCAAAACCAAGTGTTTGCAAAAGTTTCCTCCATTATACAATGTGACTCAAATATTCTTTTATCTTTCACTTATCTGTTGATTACTGATTTGCTCATGGGAATAGGATCTTCAATCTGACATTTAGCTAGGCAGACAAGAGTCTTAGTTACTGAGTCTGTGAGGACAGCCACTTCAATTGTCCCAGGTAACTTCTGCATTATTAGAGTAGGGCAGATGCTAGCACCTCCTAGGCTTACAGTGCAATCCCAGTACCTGTAATTATTGAATTCCCATTAAGCAACTACATTGGGAATCCTGTTATTAACCAATTTATCACACCGCAGAACCATGTAATCACAGAGTAATCTAATCTGAGTTCTTGTTAACAAAATCACCTGACGTGGTCCGTGGAGTAAATTCCTGGTTGCTCCCCCAGTAGGCTGCCCTGGGAAGCTGCAACCAGGAGCAGGTTTGTTGGTGGAAAGCAACGTTGATAGCAGGCTTGTGAGCCTGTGAGTGCCCACGGGGACCTGCCTCCAGTGGGAGTCAGTGGAGTGATGGGGAGCTGTGCCCCTTGCCCCTCCACCCATAGCCTCCAGGTTGCAGAGCATCTGCTGGGGGAGGAACAGCAGCCCAGCAGAGTGGGTGGTGTGACACAGCTGCTGAGCAGGGGCACTGTGTTGCTGTGCAGCACTGACTGCTGGGACTTTTCCTCTTGGGAGGGGGCACACTAGGTCCCCAAGGATCTGAAGCAGACAGCAGACTGGACAGGGCAATACTACAAAGCTAAAAGTCTGATCAGTTCTGGGTCACATACAGTAGAAGTGTTTGTAGTGCTAAGGAGCCAAGTGGCCAGAAGAAAGCCGCACCTGACCTCTTGGTGGGCAGATGGACCACCTGGACATTCCAGGGCACTGTGATTCATGTCTTGGTAGCCCTCCCTCCTGTTAGTGAGTTGTCCAGATGGGGGATGGGGGCTGCCTGGTGGAGGAACGGTGACCCACACTTTGGTCTTTGCCATCTGCTGCTTGCATACGCCGTAGGGCAGTACCGTCTTTCCTCTTGCCTCCTCCTACCTGGTCATTCTCCCACCTGGAAAGCTTTTCCTGCCCCTGGCATGGCTGGCCACCCCCAGACCCACTGTCCCCCAGGTAATCACAACCTCTGCACTGGCTGACCGTCTTCCTACAGGTCTCCCCATCCTCTGTTCTTTCTGAGTTCCTTCTGTGCATTAACTTTGATGAATTATCACATTTATTTCCATATTATTCACCTCCATCTCCCTTTGTGCAGTGGTCTTGCCTGGGGAAGAGCATTATCCCCTCTCTGTTCCCAGCACCTGCAGCAGGGCCCTGTCACTGCCTAAGTGACACCTGGAAATGAATGCACAAGAGCAGAGTCTGGAGGCAGGTCACACCTGGATTCTGGTCCTAGTGGCCCAGGCCTGCTTTGTTCTGGCCAGTGGTATTCTCCCTGCCCCCACCTGCTCCATACCACAGAAACACAGAGCTCCCCCTGGAGGCAGCGGGGAACACTGCAGATCTTTCCAGAGGAGGGTTCCCGTGCCTACTCCCTCTTGTTAGTTCTCTACAGGGAGATCTTGGGTACAGGGGTGGCATCAGCAGAATGCCTGTTTCTGGCCAGCTGCTCCTGGCTCTCTGCTCAGAGGGTTCTGGGCACATGGTTTTATTCCCTTTGCATTTGTCCTGTGACCACGCTCTTGTTTTACTCATGATGTTGCTTCTAGATGCCATTAAAGGCAATGCACCCGTACCAGGTGGTTTGGAGTGCCCTCCTCGGCACGACCAGGTGGAAGCTTATCCCACGACCACCATGCAGAAGGAGCTGAGCTTCCGATCCTTCATCCCTTAAGGACTTGCTACAACCATCCTGTCTGAATGCCCCGTGGCACTCAAGGCAGGCCTCTGGTGTGTTGCCCAACTCGGGAGGAATCCTGGGTTTGTAACCAAGCAGGGCCGTACACATCATGCTGAGTGCTTACTCTCAGCTTGATTAGCAGCCTAGAGAAAGTCCTGCCTCTGGATTTCAATGCATGAAAGGCTGGGGCCCAGCTGGCCCTCCCTGAGTGTCTGTGTTGGACGCAGCCAGCACATTGTGCTGGGTGGAATGGAAAGATCTCTGGGCTTCGAGGCTTGTTTACAAGATGTAAGCCCAGGAATTGGAGCTCTCTATCTCTAGCTCTCCTTGCCATGCTTGAGTCTCCATCCTCTGCTTATGGCTGAACCATCCAAAAGAACACTGAATTCCTGGTACAGGAAGCCCTGTCACGGTGCATACCACCATAAAGCAAAGCCTGGGCCACACCGTGAAGATGGTGAGGTGCAATTAAAGCAACTGGGGAGAGGTTTAATTTATTTGGTTAGTCTTTTCTCTTAAAAATGAATTTTCAGAATAGGGACTGTCTTCAAAAATTATTATTCTATTTCCAAAGAAGTAAAAATCTGCTCTAAGCCTCAGGCTGTTCTGTCAGCCCACTCAGGAGCTCTTATCTTCTCCCCGGGGAAGGTGCTAGGTTTTGTAGTAACACTTCCAGCCGCTTCCTAGATGTTGCAGAGCAGGCCTTGTTTCTCCAGTTTCTACGATTTGTCTAATGCTCCTATAAATACTCAGGCCTTGCCAGCTTCCCTCCAAGCTGTCGCCAGCTCCTCCGGTTAATTTCAGAGGAATGCATTAAACAGGTCTCCCTTTCCAGGCCTCTCCGTGCAGCAGTTACGAGTTAAAAGCAGGTGAGCGTGGCCTGCAGCACTTGCTTGTTTTCTGGAGTGGAAGGAGATCTGAAATCTTTGGATTTCTCAGCCTGCTGGGCCACGTGGCTCAGTGGGCTGTGGATCGAGGCCTCTGCTTTTAATTCTCTTTGAATTAGATCACAGAGTCCTCGGTGCTGACTGTGGCTCTGCGCTGACTCATGCTCTACCCCTGTGGAGAGACCTGCTCACCTTGGGGACCTGAGCTCCCTTGGCTGTGAAATGAGGGTGGAGATGTGCTTCTACTCACATGGTGGTCCCAAGGAACAGCCAGGCTGAGCTCAGCAGAGCCAGCACATCGGGGTGTAGCTGCGAATAGGACACAAAATATCCCCAAAGCATGATAGGCGATGCCTGGGGACCTAGGCCACAGCCTGGGCACCTTTGTTAGCACCTGGGCCACACTGTACTGACAAGGCAGACTGAAGGTCAGGTGCAGCTCCAGGCCTGCTTTCTCCCTCACATGCCAGGGAACTGAAACCTGTCCTTTCTTCCCGGGCTTCTGCTTATCTATGTCACTCTGACTACCCCCCCTCCTGGAAG